CTACTACTAGAGAGGGCTTAAGAGTAAACTCCCCCCCCCCCAAGTGAGGTAGACACCCAGGCCTCTCCTTCCAGACCTAGCATCCGTGCTTCTTCGAACCATAATTAATAGCCAAGGCCAACCCTTTTGGCAAGTTTCTTTACCCCTCCCTCGCGGATGGTGGAGTTGTTGATTTCCCTGAGGCCAGAAACTTTCCCTGGACTTAGCCCGGGAGAGGCCAGCGCCGGCTGTTTTCCGCGATGCCAACATATCTTTTCTTTCTTTTCTCCGGCTCTCGGTTGTCCTCCCAGCCCCAGGCCAGTCGCCAGTCCACATAGTTTTGTTTCCTTTCCATCATGCAGAAAATTAATCCGCCAGGACGAGAAGCAGAGCTGAGCACGACGGCCTGTAATTAAGGGACGTGTGCCCCTCGGATTATCTCGTTAGTTTATCAAGAAAACATTTATTATAATTAATTCTCGGACGAGGTAATTATTATTGAGCGAGGACACAGCAACTGGTAGATGGGCTTCTTGAAGGAAAAAAAAAAAAAAAACTTGGGAGGGGGTGTGGAGGGGGAAGCGCCAGATTGCACGAATTGACCGTTATATATAAGGCTGCGCAGGCCGGCGCAGGCAGTGGAGCTGAACTTCGGGCGCCGGGGCTGCCGGGCTGCGGGGCTGTTGGGCAGGGACACAGGGACGCCAGACCGAGCCGCTCACATCAGAGGTCGGGTACCCGGGGACTCGCCGTGCTACCGCCGTCTGCTCCTAGGTATGAGTTTTCAGAGGCCACCTCGGCTGGATAGCGGTCACACTGAGGCTAGTGTCTTTGAAAGGGCGTTTCTTTCTCCACGTCTGCGCTGTGTATGAAGAAGCGAGGATGGCATCCTTACCAAGCTGGGAAAGTTAGATGGAAGGGCCCACAGCCCGGTCACCAAGCAGTGAGTGTGCATACCTAGGCTGGCTGTTGGGAAGTCCTGGTGGTTTTGTTTTTGTTTTTCTTCCCCTTCTCACCCCCCTTATATGCAGGAGGAAAAGTGAAAACAGTTTGACCTGGGATGTTTTAACAATTTTGGAGTTGCAAGAAGGATCTTGTTCTGGTTTTTGCTTTTGATGGTGGAACGTGCTACTTTATTGTGTGGTGTGTCAGGCGTTTCTAATTGGGTGTGAGGTAGACACTTGCCCATCTCAACATCTGATATGATTTTAGGTTTCTGTATAATTGCTCAGAACTTTCCAAGACACTAAGAGTATATTTAAAAAGAACTCCACTTTAGAGACTATTTAAATAAGCAATGACTATTTTTAAACAACGTTATTTTTTTTTATAAACTGCAAATAGCTGCATTTTTGAAAAGAGGTATACGGAACATAAAATCTTTGCAAGAGCAACTAAATTAATTTTAAGGATAAATACTCAAAACCTCCAAGAAGAGCATTTTAAAAATTACATGAAATCCAATCTCAGGGTGGGAAAACATGACTTGTGTTCTGAATTTAAATAAGGAAGAGGTCACAGTGGTCCCATTTGTGGGATTTTTGTCTTGATGTCCGAAGCAACATAAATATGAAAACCTAGAGTCCTTAAAATTTACTGAGACCCTCAGAAAAGTGAGAGAGAACTCTAAATCTTGTATCTGCCATTTTAAGGAAATCTCCCAGAGTGTCAAAGTTTCAAAGTAGAGATCATTGCAAGCTAAGTGCAATATTTTAGGAAAATAAAAGCCTGACTTGCAAACTGCCTGCCTATATTAACATACTTCCTGGAGGGAGATTCCCTAAGAAAGTAAATAACTTCTCTTTCTTTTTTTTCCTTCTTCCAAGCTCTTGTTCTTGCAACTGTAGTATATTTGAAAGGTAGAGAGACAAATCTATTAGTTCCAGAACTTTGGGTGTTGATCTACTTTCTTCAAAACTAACATGTGGAAAAGGCAGGTCGAGTTAACAGGAAACGGCTGCCACCTCTGAGAACCCAAAGGTCCAAAAAATGCGCCTTCCCCAGAATCTGCAGCCCCCTCCATCAAAATGAATGTGGAAGCAGCTTGCTCTACAAATGTGTGCCCTCCAGACTTGCAAATGTGGGGCCTGTCGTTTATCTGATTGGTGGGATTTTAACTTTACTTAAGAATTTTTGGCAAGCTCTGTGCCAGACTTTTTTTTTTTTTGAAGACTTTTTTGTTTTTGTTTTTGCAGTATGTTTAAATTAAATATTTGATGGCTGTCGCTTAAAAGTTAAATACTTGTTTGTTTAGCTTTAGTTCTTTGGATATATATAATCAAGGTTCTCCAAAACTCTAATAAATCTGTTACTTACCTCAAAATCTAATTATCCAGACTACTAATTAGGTGAAAATGATTACTGGAAATGACTTCAAATGTGGAATAATAGTGGTTGGGCAGTTTTCTCAAGTTTGTTGTTCAGCAAGTTGGTATTTTAGATGTTAAATGAATTGACATTTTTGGTTCGCAGCAGTTGAAAGTGGTAAAAAGCTAAGATAATTAAAATCTCTGCCGTGGAAAGGCAACAGTCTGGGGAGAGGTAGATTTCTTCAATTGTTTCTTTGTTTCTCACCACTGAGCTTTGTTATCAGCATTATTTATTTAACCAAAGAGTTCTTTGTCTCTGCAAATGGCCCCAATCAAGTTTTGTTTGAGACAATTAGCTAGTGGCAGCCAATGAGTCCTATGCAAATGTTGGGATAGGAATGCAGTGTGTGCATTTGAAGGCGTGGGGTTTTGTTCTTGGGGGCAGGCAGATTGTAATTGCTTTCTTCGTTTTTTTTTAAGTTTAGGGTGGGGGTGGGGAAGACAGGTTTATCTGGTCTCCCTCCAGCCCCCCTAGTTTCAGAGCAGCTGGGGTGTGTGTGTGGCGGGGGTGGGGGGCGTTGAAGCATCTGCAAGTCCTTTAAAAGCTTGTGCCTTGCCCAGCCCCGGCTCTTTCTAGCTAGTGACGCAACGTGGACGAAGCTGCTCCCTCCGAAGCAGTAAACCAGCCCCTCTGTTTCCTTTGCCCTTAGTTCCACCACTCCAAACCCATCCACCAAGGACCCTGAACCTGTCCACTCCAGGCGAATCGAGACCGTCCGGCTGGGTCCCCCCAATTTGGGCTGACTTTGCGCCTCCAAACAACCTTAGCATGATGTCTTATCTCAAGCAACCGCCTTACGCAGTCAATGGGCTGAGTCTGACCACTTCGGGTATGGACTTGCTGCACCCCTCCGTGGGCTACCCGGGTAAGTGAGCCCTGCGACTTTCTCGCCTGTCCCTTCCCGTCGCCTGCCCTTCGGGGTGTGATCCCCTGTTTCCCTGGAGCTCCGAGGTTGGAGGCTGGAGAGCCATTGGGCATCTATGGACCCAGGAGAGAAAAAGGGGCTGGGAAAAAGAGAGTCCAGGGTCTGCAGCAGCTGCAGAAAGTCACATTGCTCCATTCTTACTAGTGGTTTGGGGACACTCGTTGGGTTGGAGCATGGACGTTTACTGCCCTTGTCACTTGAGTGCACCCTTGCTTGTGTCTCCACGTCCTCCCCATTCTTCGCCAAATGTCCCTCTGGAAGTAGCAGTTTTTTGCCCCTCGCGCTGTCCTTTGCAGCTTTGCCCGACTCACCCTAGGCTTCTGGAACCTCCAGGCCCAGTGCCCTTAATCCCTAAGGCTTCCTTTCAGGTGTCAGGCATTTTGCTTTCCGTTTAGATCTCCCCACCCCCACCTCCCAATATTATGCTCCCATTTTAAAGATGCAGGAACAGAGGCCCTTGCTATGCTACAAGTGGTAGGAACAGGCCCCATATTCGCAGGGCTCCCACTCCTTGGCGAACCCTTAAATTTACTGAACAGCATTTTCTGTTGGTAGTGTGGCTTGGCGGTTGATTTTGCAGAATTGGGTGTGTTACTGGGGATTTTTGTTATTTGATTTATTTTGTTATCTATCAAAGCGACGCTCTGTCAGGCAAAGTGAGCTGCTGCTCTGGGAGAGGCAGTGTGTCCTGTCAGGCTCCGGAAGGGGTGGGAGATCCTTGGTAGGTACGCGGGAGGGGGTGGAAGGTGGGGGAGGAAGGTGGGGGAATCCGGCCGAGGCAAAGCCCTGTGACTGAGAAACTGCTCCCCCACCCTAAAGGGCCCTGGGCTTCTTGTCCTGCAGCCACCCCCCGGAAGCAGCGGCGAGAGAGGACCACATTCACCAGGGCACAACTAGATGTGCTGGAAGCTCTGTTTGCCAAGACCCGATACCCAGACATCTTCATGCGTGAGGAGGTGGCACTGAAAATCAACTTGCCTGAGTCCAGGGTGCAGGTAGGGCTGGCATAGACAGGCCATTTTTCCTGACCCTACCCACTCCACAAAGCTTAGTATATAGAAAACCCAACAGAGCCTCAGGTCTTTGCCCCAATCAAAGGAAAGCTTGAAATTTTAAGCATTCAGGAACCAGAAAGTCATTCTTTTGCTTCCCTGGCCCTACTTAATCCTATAAACCAGGGTCTTCTGGCCCAGGTTCCAAAGAGTATAGCTACTGAGCTAAAGAAAGAAAGTCCTAGAACCCTCCTGAGTCTCTGGTTGCAGAGAGGGAGCCTTGGGCAGATTTCAAGGGTAGTCATGTGGTCTTTTGACCCTTGTATGGAAATCATATTTGACTTCTGTGTGTGTGTAGGGGTGGAGCTTAGCTCCTGGGTATTCCAAACATCATCATCATCATCATCATCATCATTAATTTAGTGTTTTTCAGACAGTGTTTCCCTGTAGCACCAGCTGGCCTGGAACTTACTATGCAGACCAAGCAGGCCTCCAGCCCACAGATATCCACCTGCCTCTGTCCCCCAAATGCTGACATTTAAAAAGGTCTGTACCACCATGCTGGGCTCCAGATTTTTCTTTTGAACTGGTAAAGAAATATAGCAAATGACCTGCTTAAGGTCCTGCCAAATTTGGTGATAGAGTCAGAAAGAGTTGGTGCCTTTACCAAATAAGTTAACACAATAAAAGTTTGGTTTTTTTTGTTTTGTTTTGTTTTGTTTTGTTTTTTACTTCTTGGGGATGGAACACCATTTAAGTTCTTGATCATTTAACAGACAAGTTTACCTTCATAATAGCTCTGTTACCTCCTTTCTTTGCTTGAGTCTTCCATAACTTGACCCTAAAAGGGAATCACCAGCTTGACTGGAAAGCAAGCCCCATATGGAGCTCTCAGGAAAGAGGCTTGACACTTCAACCACATACACACTTTGCACTCTCCTTCAGGTAGGACATGTTTGTGAAAGTGCCAGATGTCAGTGTGAACTACAAAGCAGAATGCAGGCTTTTTAATAGTGGATTGGAAAAAGTTTTAGCACTTCTAAGTCTTGACCAAAGTCCTCATTGGAAACAAGCAAACTAGTTCTGAAAGGTGGAGGCCTTGAGCCTGGCTTTGGGAATAGCACTTTTGCCACATTTTCAACACCCATATGGAGAGCTCTTTTAAGAGGGTGACTAAGGACTGATAGCCAATAAAAATGCCAGTAGTTTTTCATAAACTCCCTTCACACACCAAACACAGCTCCTTCACACACCAAACACAGCTCCTTCATTGAAGACATACACAAGGGTTGTAAGGAGAATTTTCAGAATTGCAGGCAGATTTTTAAGTGGACAAACCAATGAACATAGTGTAGAGAAGAGAATCTATGCAGTGAGTGAATCTGAAGGCACAGACTTGAGTCTCAAAGACTGGTATTAAGGTCTATCTTTGAGCTCAAAACAAGCTATACAAATCATTCCATTCACCACAAACCAACTTTCAGCAGACACTGGCTTGGGTCTTTTTTCTCCACAGGATTATGTCTTCTTGGAGATGTCTTTTGTGTGTCTAGGAGAGACAAAATGTTAGGTCACGGAACCAGCTTCCACATTAGCAATTGCTTCCTGGACAGGGGAATGTAAACTGCATTCAGTCAGAGATAAAAGATGCAGATACAGTCTATTCTATTGTGATATCATCCCCAAATAGAACTGGGTCTATATATGTGTTTAGAAGGGATGAAATGGGAAAGCATGACAATCTAATCTTATAATTAGATTGAGTACCTTAAATTTTCTTGTTGTAAACTAGGAATTAGATGAAATTTCCTGACTTTCGCACAATTCGAGAAGTTTGAGAGTGCAAAGAAAATTGTCTCCTTAGCTCATCTGGGTGTGCTGGACAGATTTACAATCTGGGACCACTTTTGTACTTAGGGAGTTATTAAATCCATATTAAAGAAGTTTCTTTCCCTTTTAAGGTATGGTTTAAGAATCGAAGAGCTAAGTGCCGCCAACAACAGCAGCAGCAACAGAATGGAGGTCAAAACAAAGTAAGACCTGCCAAAAAGAAGACCTCTCCAGCCCGGGAAGTGAGTTCAGAGAGTGGAACAAGTGGCCAGTTCACTCCCCCCTCTAGCACCTCAGTCCCGACCATTGCCAGCAGCAGTGCTCCAGTGTCTATCTGGAGCCCAGCTTCCATCTCCCCACTGTCAGACCCCTTGTCCACCTCCTCCTCCTGCATGCAGAGGTCTTATCCCATGACCTATACTCAGGCTTCAGGTTATAGTCAAGGATATGCTGGCTCAACTTCCTACTTTGGGGGCATGGACTGTGGATCTTATTTGACCCCTATGCATCACCAGCTTCCTGGACCAGGGGCCGCTCTCAGTCCCATGGGTACCAATGCAGTTACCAGCCATCTCAATCAGTCCCCAGCTTCTCTTTCCACCCAGGGATATGGAGCTTCAAGCTTGGGTTTTAACTCAACCACTGATTGCTTGGATTATAAGGACCAAACTGCCTCCTGGAAGCTTAACTTCAATGCTGACTGCTTGGATTATAAAGATCAGACATCCTCATGGAAATTCCAGGTTTTGTGAAGACCTGTAGAACCTCTTTTGTGGGTGATTTTTAAATATGCTGGGCTGGACATTCCAGTTTTAGCCAGGCATTGGTTAAAAGAGTTAGATGGGATGATGCTCAGACTCCTCTGATCACAGCTCCGAGAGGCATAGAAGGAAAAATGAAGGGCCTTAGAGGGGCCTATCAACCAGCACCTGAAATGGACAAAACAATCTACTTAAGATTCTGTCATAGTTTTAGATCATTGGTTTTTCTGATTTGCAAAGTGATTGATAAAATATATTCTAGCCATGTGCAACCAAACTCTATTCAAAATAAAAATCAAACAAAACTAAGTCATGAGGGAGGGGAGGAAGGTCATAGCCCTCAAAAGCAGAGGTGATCCAATGTTCTAGCCAATCCTTGGTTGAATCTTAGGAATGAACAGTGTCTCAAGCTCATTCACGTTTCATGACCAACTGGTAGTTGGCACTGAAAAACTTTTCAGGGCTGTGTGAATTGTGCGGCTGATTGTCCTAGATGCACTACTTTATTTAAAAAAAAAATGTTCATAAGGAGTCAATATGTAGTTTAAGAGACAATCAGTGTGTGTCTTACATAAATGGTACATCTGTGGTTTTTAATCTGTGCTAGACTTCAAAACTGTGATCTCCTGTTATTGTATGCAACCTTGAACTCCACCTCTGCAGGGGTTCTTATGTGATTAAATAGGTTATAATTACAAGCAAAATTCAGAGCAACTGAATATTGATCTAGAAAGATTACCTTTGGCTGGAGGTGAGCTGCACTGAAACTTAACGGCAAGATGTCTCCGGACAAGGAGAGAGAAGAGGCAAAAAGGACCTAATTCACCTGTAATTTACTGTTGGTAAGCCTGCAGTAAAGAGACATTGGTCAATTGCTCTGACCCTGATGGATTTTAAACTGAGATCTTTGTCGTTTATGCTTGCAGATGTTAACTGGAAGTTATATATGCATAAACCTTCTCCGATTTGGCAGATATGTATAATTATATTAAAATGGTTCTAGCACAATGTTGGGTCTAGTTTAATTTTACACTACTATTTATGAATGAAAAGTCTATGTTCAGCCTCACCTTCCCCAAAAGGTTTTTAGTTGGGCAGAGAGGAAACTAGGAATTTTACTCCTTTTGCCTTTACTTTTTCCTTTTGCTAAGATGTGAATGAACTAGACATGAATGACAGTGGTTTGTAAACTTGGGTGACTTCCATCAGGATGCTCCAAAATTGAAGTTACACCTCCTACTTAGTTATTAGCCTCTTCTTTCCTTCCCTGCTACAAGCTTGAATTATTTCTTAGGCACTTTATTAGTATTTTTTTTTTTTTTTTTAGATAGACCAATTTTTTAAGAGGGCAGGGAAAAAATGGAGTGTCTCAGAAAATAAAAATGGCAAGAATTTGTCTCTATTCTCTTAGGGGATTTTTAACTTAAAAAAAAAAAGGCTGAGGTAAACATGAGAGGGAGTGTAATCAGAATCTGAAAGCAATTCAGGCAGAAATGATTTCTGAACAAAAGAGTTTCAGAAAACTTTAAAAACCTATAATTTCAGTAGCTGAACATAAGGCATCCTGGTCAGTATTTTTTTAAGTGCTGAGGTTAAAAAACTCGGGGTTCCTTTTCAGTTGTACCAGTCACCAGAAAAGAAAAAAATGGTCAATGATCATGGTGCTCCTCGGGTAAAAGCAATATTTAATTTCACCTTAAACTACTTATGTTCTTAAATTTGACCAAAATTCACTGACTTTTGATTGTAACTCTTTAAATGAAGGTTAGCAGTTGCAACCATTTTGCTTTCTGGCTCCTTCATTTTCCATCCCTGGCTGTGCTCTTGAACCCCATTTAATCTTCTAATAAGTAAAACTGTTTTACTGCTTAAAGGAAACTCAATAGTTTACAACCGACTGCAAAGCCCGGTGGCAGATCATGGGGCCTGGAGATAAGATTCATCCTACCCTACTGTAGTTTTCCCTGAGACAACCTTGGAGAGTCTTTAAGGTTTTCCCAGATCTACACTTTTAATTTCCATTTTTTTTTTTCGATCAACAGTAAGTAAAGGAGATCCAAAATAAACCATTTCTCATCCTGCCTTCGGTTTTCAGGATACCTTATTAGAGAATGAAAACCCGTGTAAAAAACAGAATGACTGGCAATTAACAAATAACTCGGTTTCTCCTGCATCTGAAAATGAGATGAGAGGTCTCGTGAGCATTCTCTAATTTTTCCAACACCTTTTCGAAACTTCGTTTAACCGAGACCACTCAGCTAATCGCTTTAAATGGACGGCGGGAAAGCAGAAATGAATTCTCCCGACCAAATGCAAAGGGAGGGGGCCGGAAGCAAGCATTGGCTTAAAGACATCCAGAGTGCTGCCCGCCACTCCTAGTCTGCTCCGGATTTAATGACGTTAATAAACCCCTTAATGGTGAGACTTGGTACTAAAGTGACTAGTCCTCCAAATGGGTCAGGGAGCCGCTTCAACCACATCTCGGCAATTAACCGGAAGCGAGTCCGCAAAATCTTTCGTTTAGGAGGGCAGAGGCGAAGGGGTGGGGACTGGCTTTACAAAGGTCTGTGGCCCCAAACCTTTATCTTTCCCACCAAGATTCCTGGCTCTTTGCATTTCACCTAGGGAGTGTTTCTTCCTTCGTAGATAAGAAGAGAAATTCAATCAAGCCAGTTAAGTTCCGGTTTTCGAAACCTCCAGGTTTTAGGCTCACCAGCACGCGCAGCTCCCTGTAATCTCACCTTTTCTGTGGGTGTGCCCACCCTAGCCCCACACAAAGACAACCGGAGCCGGAGGCCAGGGTGCCAGGCTTTGGTCCAGGCGGTCCACTGAGGGAGGCGGGGACCCTTTTTAAAGGGCTACCTTTTCCTAACCTTTTGGCCAACTGTAGTGTTGTAGGGAAAGTATCGCATCTCTGCCCCTGGGAAGTCAGTGGGGGTCGGAGCTGGGGTGGAGGCCGCAGGGGCCCTGCAGGCCAAGGCTGCACACTGGGCTGCAGTCAGCCCTGCGGGCCGAAGGCCGGGGTAGGGGGCTCTGGCCTGGTGGCCCTCTTCTTTTCCTGTGCGGCCCACGAGAGGCCCAGGCCCTCCCTCAAGACGTCGTCCTCCGCTTCAGCCCAGTTCCTAGACCCGGAGCACGCGGGGCTGAGCTCCGCAGCGGCCAGACCCTGGCCTCCAGGGCGCCCCGGGGCCGAGGCCGCGCGGCCAGGCCCACAGGGAGCGACCTCGCCCCGCCACACCCGCTGCCGCGAGTCCGGCCTTCAGGGTCGCAGCCCACAGGGGGGTCGAGTCGCTGGGACACCTCAGCCCCGACAGAGTTCAGGGGTCAAGTTACTTTGTAGGGTCGGAAGGAGAGTGCCCCGTGGGCGAAGGACCTAACGCCAAGACCCAAGCAGAGCCCAGCGAGCGGCTTCCACCCGGCCAGCCCTGCGAAAACGAGTCCGGAGGGGGCCGGAGGCCGCCGGCTTTGTCGGGTTCCGGGAAGCATGCTCCGCAGACGGTTCCGGAGGGGACGGTTCCTCCGGACAACCAAGGGGGAAGTCCGTCACTCCCACCACCAGGCTCCTGCGGCGCCCGCGGCCTCCCTTGTCAGGCACAAACGAGGCCAGGCTGGGCTTGTCCTTGGGGACTCTCCCAAGGACACCCAGGTGCTTAGGTAGTGGGTCTTGGGGATTCGGCCTTCTGCTGCTGGGAGCCCCAATAACAGAGCAGGGAAGCTTGAGATGTTCGCACTTAGCCTCAATTCACCCTCTTACTCCCACTCCTCTGTGTTTCGTTTCACTGCAAGCATACGCTGTTTTTCTCTTTGGACCCAGCGGGCGCTGCAGCCCTGAGGGCCAGAAGTAGGTTTTGGAATAGGAAGCGGCCCCGTCTGCGTCCCGGGAAGCTCCAGGTTGCCAAGGCAGCGGGTTCTGGTTACCTGCAGTGCAGAGGCCTCACACAAGTGCGGGTCTCCAACGTAACCAGAAGCGGCCAGCCCCGGTACACCCACATGTTCGAATCCGTATCTCACGCCTGGTGAGAAGTTCGCTGTTGTTATGGGGTAAAGCTGAAACCCCAAACCAAGCTTGCCAGGGTTAGGTGGTGCTGATTGCATACAGAGATGTGTTTTCGGTCATGAAAAAGAGGTGCACAAAAAACATGGGCAGACAACCGATGCATCCCAGGCAAATAGAAGCAGATGTCGTAGAAAACAATGTGAAGATGCTGCGTGTATTGGGCATGACCTGGCCTGGATTCTTGACTTCCCTGGAAACTTTCAGGAAGGACCTTTGTTCCTTTTCTGCCACTAAGGGGTTCAAGCTTCCATCACGGCATCTGCATACTCAGATCTGTGGCGGGTGCTTAGGGCACCTGTTTTTCCCTCCTAAACCTCCAGCACCCTGTCAGTTCTGAGAAACCTTATTCTTCCAGAAGCCTCATTTCCGCCTTTGGGTTAGTGGGATATAAAAGACCGAAGACTCTCGAGTCTTCTGTGCAACGGGGAGAGCAAAATCCCCAACAAGAACTACCCCATATTTTTGGGATTGGCCCTGCAACTGCACAGATTATAGGATTTGTCTCGGACAGAATTAACATTACATGTGAAACGGTGACGCACCAGTGTATCGGGACACGTTGCTGGGATTGCTTGGAGCATCTCTTCCCAACTGCCTGCTAATAGGAATACCAGACTTTGAATAGCGTTCTTTAAAATTGTTTTTCACTCGATTCAAGCAAAACGTACACATTCTTTGGAAAAGGTAGTTTTTCTGATGGAAGGAAGTGGAACCAGAAGCTTCTGTATGTAGAAGTGGCTGCAGAGGAGGAGGAGGCAGGCATGCATTTGAAAGGCCCGCTACTATGCAACAGTCTCACTATGGAGGGAGCCCTCTCCCCCAACCCCCATGCTAAAGAGAATCAGCCAGACTTCCTCTCCTTGAAGCAGTGTGTTTTATGTTTAAAAACCAACCTGCTGTTGACTGCAAACAACAATAAGCAAATTCAAATAAAGGAGCCTCACCAGGTCCAACCCATTAGGCAAAGATAGCTGTAGGTGCCAGAGCAGTCGGGCTATCAGCAGGGGCGGCAGCTTCAAAATTTGTTTTTCTCCTACAGGGAAAGTCAAGCAGCATAGGTCTATGACTTATTTTCATTCCTTAACCTCCTTCAATTCTTAGTGGAAACATGGTATTTTGAAGCAAACAAACCAAATGAAAATCGAATATAGTAAACTAATGGCAAATTGCTAAATGTAAAATGGTAAAATAATGGTAAATTGCTAAAGTTTGAATGGGTGTATACTTGAGCTCTGAGGGGAAGACAAGATGTTCATGATTCCGATGGAATCTTTCGCCACCTGCCCCTCTAGTGCCTGTGCCTTAACTTGCCTGTTTTCAGGATGGAAAACAGGCTGTCTGATTAAGGATTCCTTGGTCTGTTGACCACCAGGAGCCATTTCCAGCCCATAGGCTTCTTTAAAATTAAGGTGCCCATTTCTAACAGCCATTTCATTGATAGTTGCTTTTTCACCCTTTTTGAACTTTCATGAAGGAACAAGCAAACCCCCTTTGGGAGCCACAGGAGCAGCAGCCAGTGGGTACTGGCCTTGGTTCCTACATCCTGAGGACGAGACTGGAAGGTAGGTCCTTAGAGTGGTCTTGGGTCCAGTGAATGTTCTCCTTTAGGCTCTGTCCCAGTCTCACAACTATAATCTCAACAAACCTTAGGCCAGGTTGCAACCAAAAGACCACTCATCCAAACCATGAATTGCTAAAATGTTTCTAGAACCAAGAGTCATATTTTAGGATCATGGCCCATTAATAAAAATCTCCTTAACATTCAAATGGCTGTGAAATGTGTTGACAGTGGATTAGTAGGGCCTAATGGACGTTATGTGATAACATGAACTCTGAGTAGTAAGGTTGTGGAATGGGTGTCTGACCACAGTTACCCCATTATCAGCTTATAGCCAAACCACTTTTTAGCTGTGATGCTCTTAAGAAAAGGCATTCTTCTCAGCAAAGCCTGAGACTTCTGTTCTTCATTTAACCTCTTTAACAACCTCAGAATTCTGGAATGGGGAAGTGAAAAACTTGCCTGTGGGTGTAAGGTCACCTTCAGGTGTAAGGGGGCAGCTTACGGGCCACTGTCCCTGCCTTCCCTGGTTTTAATGAAGCTATGCCCTGAAGGTGTGGCTCTGGAAGTTCAAGACCCTTGCTGGGGATGTCCCACTAGCCTCCAGCGCCCTCTGGCCTCAGGCTAGTTTGGGGCTAGCTCGGAGGGCAATCCCTTGTGACTGCTTGCTTTGCCACTGTCAGCCGCGACCACCGGGAAAATTCAAGGAGTTCTGCCACCGCCTTTGAGCACCACCAACAGCGCTTCAGACCCCCCTCGTCGTGGCCTCGGTGCCACCAACGAGCGGGCTCTGAGCGGGTTCCGGGGCTGCCCTGGAATATTGGCAAAAACACTGTGTTCTCTTTCTCCACTCCCATCTTTCACTCAACAAGCAAGCGACGTGAAAAGACACAGAAAGCCAGGTCTTCTTTGGCTGCAAAGTCCATAGTTGCATCTCCTTTGGGGAGCCCCCTTCCCGCGCGCGGCGCCTGGAATAACGCTGCTGTCATTTGGAGAGTCTGGAGACTACCCCGGGAGGCACAGAGCTCCTCAAAAGGCTGAGGAGGCAGCTCTCTGGCCTGCTGCATGGGCTACGGGGATCACGACCCTCCCATCCTACCCTCCAACTGGCACCACGCCCGGAAACCGGCCTCGAACCTATGGAGACCAGAGCCCTGCCGGTAGCC